GGCAACGGAATCTGAGTATAACTGCGCAGTCTTCATTAGCTTAGCCATTTTCTAGTTTCTGTGGTCGCCCCTATTCCAGTCACCTGGACATTGGCCTTAATGTTTTCGGTGTCTGCTGCGTTGATGGCGGTTAGAGTGAGCCCCACCCCTGGGTATTCACATGCTTGGGAAGTCCCTTCCCTTTCAGTCTGGACTGAACCTGTAGCTTACTGTAACCAATAGAATGTGACAGGATGAAAGCTTTTCCAGGTCTGGACATAAGCCTTAAGAAGGCTAGGTGGCTTTTGCTTTTGGGTTTTTTTGGGGACGCCTGAACCATCATGGAAGGTTCCTGGTTACCTTCCTAGAGAGGCTGTGTGGAAAAGAGGCCACATGGGGAGAGGGAGGCCGGGAGATGACCTGGAGAGAGAAGCCTAGTCGAGCGGTAGTCTGGCTGAGCCCTCCTTACCTGCCTGCAGAGGGCAGTCACGCACGTGATCACCAGCGCAGTGAGCAGAAGAACTGCTTTGCTGAGCCCAGCCGAAATTGCAGAATTACCAGCCAATAAAATGTTTGTTTGTTTGTTTGTTTGTGTTAGCAGTAGGTTTTGGGATGGTTTGTTAAATAGTGATAAGAAACACACAAAAAAGGGGGCACCTGTCTGGCTTAGTTGGTAGAGCATATATAACTCTTGATCTTGGGGTTGCAAGTTTGAGCTCCTTTATAAAATCTTAAAGAAAAGCAAAAGGAACATAGGAAAAGAACGGTTTTGAAAATAAAAGTTTTTGCTCAAGGATGTTTCCTTTTTCTGATGGTTTTGGGCTCTTCCTGGCTTGCCAGTATCAGGCCGTGTTCAAGGGTGATAATAGCAATGAATCACTCTTCCTTCCGAGAAGCTCATCTTACTGTATCCTAACTACGTGAGTCTGCTTGATACTCGGGTGATTCCAAGGTAAGCTTAATTTCTCTGTGCCGAGCTTCTCCACAGAAACCTCGGGAGATAAGGTCGTTTCCTGTGTTCAGAGCTCTGCTTCCTCTTCTCTGCCGCATTTCCCACTCCCATCCTCTGAGGCTTTTTATCCCTGTCCGAGCTGAATTGGAATTGGCCTCGGCCAGCCAAGTAAGACCAGATGGAGTAGCCTTTCTCTTCCTCACTTGAACTTGTTCCTGTTCTCCACAAAGGACCGGAGAGGCCTTTTGGGACCGAGAGAGGATAAGACCAGACACCAACTTTATTTTCGATCCTTGCACGTATTACTAAACAGGAAGATACAGTACAGCGAGATACTGTTCATGGAGTTTACTCCCTCTCACAGATCCGTTTCTCTTCTATTTATTGCAATACAGATTTTTTTTCCCTGAAGTTTCCACCAGATAAAGAATTGGTAATCTAAAAACATAGAACTTCTTAAACAATCTGTTTTGGTTAAAATGCTTTTTTTTTGGCCTTAAAAACTACATGAAAATAGATTTAAAATCTCACATCATTGATAGGCTTCCACATTGGTCAGAGTGGGGGCCTCAGTGCACTTGCTCTGCATCTGTAACAGCAGAAACATGGGCAACACAGCTCACATGAACTACTGCAGAATTCTGGCAGTTACCCAAAGCCAGCGAAAGCACTGCACGTCCTCTGTCCAAGAGAAAACTACTGAAACCTGGGAAGACAGTGGGGCCTGTGACATTTGAACTTGGGGTTTCTTCCATGTTTCCTCCTTCCTCAGCTTGGCAGCTTAGCAAAAGCTGGTAGCGTTGCGCACAACGGAGAGCTCTGGCCGCTCCTGGAGACCCGTGAAAAGCACCATCCCCTGAGCACAGATCATATTTTGTCCAAACTTGCGGCTCCCTGGGAAAAGTCTATTCCCAGGGAGCGGTTTGCTATTTGATTTGACTCAGAGCCCTGCTCAGCTGGGGGGAAAGAAAAGCCCCCAGGGCTTTGTGGCAACAACAGCGAATGTTGGCACTGTCTCCATTGCTTAAGGCTTTTATTTCAGTGGAGGCAAACCGGAGCCTGGCCAGGAATTCAGAACGCAATCGGGGAGAATTTGCCAGCTATAGGGAACTCTGAAAGACTCACATCATATTCCTGGGCATCTAAAAGGCTGCGCCATGTGCAAGGCTGTGTGTGTGCCTAAAGACCTAGCTAAGCGGAGGATCCTCTCTGACCTTGAGGCTCTGCCTAAGCAGGAAGTAAAAGCTAGGGCTGTGTTATATGCTGCCTGAAGTCTCAGGGTGTGACCTGTCACAAGGATGCCTTTGGCAAAGGGTGAAAATACCCAGGCAGGCATTTAAGGAAATTTTCTGACCAACCAGTGGCTGGCCACTAAGTTATACAGGTACAGGTGTGACTCTTTGGAAGCCAGGCTTAAAAACAAGAACTTAAAAAAAAAGAAATCTAGCGGCAAACTCAGTAACCACACACTATAGGGAAGATAGAATCTAGAGTTAGTTCATTAACATGCCAAACTAGCAGTGCCCAAAAAAAGAACAACAAAACCAGTGATAAAAAATCTTGGGGCAGTGTGGAGGGTTCTCGTACCACAGTTGTTAAAATATACTATCCAAAATGACCATTGTTTAATAAAAAAAAAATTAGAGACATGGAAGTATGGGAAATTGTGCCATACACATGGAGGGGGGGAATCCAAAAAGCAAAAACCAGCCAACAGAAAAATGTCCCTGTGGGAGCCCAGATAGGAACTTCGTAGACACAGACTTTGAGTTATTATAAATATGTTCAAAGAACTAAACGAAACCACATCTAAAGAATTAAAGGAAAGTATGAGAATGATATCTTACCAAAGGGAATATCAATAAACCTAGAAATTACTTAAAGAGAACCATACAGAAATTCTGGAGTTTAAAAGAATGATAAATGAAAAATTCACTAGATTTGCTCAATAGCAGATATGAGTCGGCAGAAGAAAGAATTAGTCAACTTAAAGGTAGCTCAGTAGAGATGATCCAGTGTAAGGAGCAGAATGATAATAAAAATGAACAGAGCTTCAAGGGTCCTGTGGGCCACCATCAAGGGTCCCCATGCAAGCAAAATGGGAGGTCCAGAAGGAGAAGAACAAAAGAGGCAGAATATTTAAAGAAATAGTGGCAGAAAACTTTGTAAACTCGCTAAAAAATATTAATCTGCACATTAAAGAAACCCTGTGTACTCCAAACCCAAAGGGATCTGTACTTGGACTTGTCCTAGTTCAAACTTAGAAAAAGTGAAAGAGAAATCTTGAAAGCAGGAAGAGAAAAATAACTTGTCATGAAAGGGGTCCTCAGTAAGATGAATAGCTGACTTCTTATCAGAAACCATGGAGGCTGGAAGACATTTTCAAAGTGTTGAAAGCAAAACAGATTCTCAGGAATTCTGTATGTAGCCAAAATCTCCTTCAAAGATTCAGGAGAAATTAAGACATTTACCAAACGAGGGGAGCGTGGGTGGCTCAGTCTTTTGAGCATTCCGACTCTTGATTTCAGCTCAGGTAGTGATCTCAAGGTTTGTGAATTCAAGTCCCCTATTGGGCTCTGTACTGACCTCATGGAGCCTGCTTGGAATTTTCTCACTCCCTGTCTATTTCTGCCCCTCCCTTCACCAAAATAAAGAAATAAATAAACATTAAAAAAAAAGACATTTACCAAACCAGCCACCGCCAACAACCACAAAGTAACAACAAACCAAATCAAACAGAAACTGGAGAATTTGTCGCTAGCAGACCTGCCCTACAAGAAATAATTAAGGAGGGTCCTTCAGGTTGGAATGAAAGAACAAGCAGTAACCTAGAAAGGACTAGACAGCACACTAACCCGCATGAAGGAAGAAGTGCAATGATAAAGGTAACTAAATAGTTATGAGAGACATACACAGAAAAATATACACGAATGCCTTTTTCTTCATAATGTTTGTCTCCTGCTTTAAAAGGCAACTGTATAAAGCAATAATAAAAAAAAAACATATAACATATAAGTAATTTGCTTAACAATAATGGTAAAAAGGAATGGAAGAAAATGGAAGTATATCCAAGGAAAGTTTTTGATTATTATTGAAATTAAGTTAACTTTAATCTAGACTAGAATGTTTTAAGTTATAATACTCCTTGTAATTTCCAGGGCAACCACTATGAAAATAACTCAAACAGGACAGTGAAAGACACACTGAGGGAATGCAAAAGGCACACTAGAAATGTTTAAGATAAAAGAAGGCGGGAGTTGAGAAATGGGCTTATGGAGCTCCAATATACCTTCATAGAAAAGAGGTTATAACTGATGGCTTCCAGGTCAAATAATGTACTCATGCAGTCTTTAAGGAAATGTTACCGATGGAGCATATTGGTTCATGGATCCTGTTAGGGGGCTTAATTTTATAATACTGTCAGGTGCTTATCAATAGATGTTTCATATATGGTGTAAGGTAAATACACCAAAGTGAACTCAGTGTGAAATGATTCCATTAACCCTTAGTTCTGAAGTTGTAGTTTTGTCTCCCTGGATATGAGATAGCGATATATGGAAATGAGAGATCCCCTTTATTTTGTTACTGAAAGCTGGGGTATGGAAAATTGAGTTATTTTCCTTCCTCTAAATGTGGAAAAGAAAAGATGAGCCAAGGACCCTGGAGAGCAGAGTAGATCGTGGGAAGAATGCATCTGGAGATAAATGTACATAAATGTACAAGCTATTGAATGGAGAAATATTCTGGGCAGAATATTTAAAGCCCTGAGAGGTATTTCTATCTGCATTTTCTGTACATTGTTGATTCCGTTCTCCATGGGTCCTCAGCTCAGTGGAGAGCCGATCTTATCACAAGAACCGTTCATTGCTGGGTAGAGCTGCCACAATTATGATGTATTACATATGCCTTCAGAAAATAAAACCAATGTTAAGCTCTATGGTATGAAGACAGTTTAATTATATCAAACAATACATGTAATTTCCTTATTCTGGGAAAAGTGATGAAATTGAATTTTCTTACTGTTGATTTAAACAATCATTTAAAAATGAAATTCTCAATCTGTTTTCAGTCCCAGCACAGTTGAAGAATATAGCACAGTTGCATCTGTAATGATGGCTCACTCAACTGGGAACATCTCTCTGGGTGAGAATAAGTAATGTTTTTCACGACCTCCAAGTAATTCTGATGTGGCGTACCTTCTTTCCATTATAAATAACACACTGAAGTCCTAGATTTCTAGAGTGTTATAGAAATTAGTGTTATTAAGAGATTACAGTGATTAAAACTGAATCTAGTCTTCTGAGACTCTTGTTTTCTTAAGCAAGTTCTACTGAACATTTCTAATACTCTTCCTGGAATATTCCAGACATTTTTATTCCTAACCTATGAGCTATTTTTAAGTGTGCAGTTCAATAGTGTTAACCCTCTACACATTTTTGTACAACCTATCTCTAGAATTTTTCTTGTAAAACTGAAACTCTGTACCCATTGAAGAATGACTCCCCTCTAATTCTTCCCCTCAACCTCTGATACCTGCCAATCTACTTCCTGTTTCTTTGAGTTTGACGACTTTAGGTATCTCATCTAAGTGGAATCATGCAGTGTCTGTGTTTTTGTGACTGTCTTGTTATATGTAACATAATGTTCTCAGGGTTTATCCATGTTGTAGCATGTGATAGGGTTTCTTTCATTTTTAAGGCTGTATAATGATCCATTGTATGTGTATACCACACTTTCTTCATCTACTCACCCATCCATGGGGATTTAGCTTGCTTCCACCTTTTGGCCATTGTGGATAATGCTATACAGTGAACATGGATTTACAAGTATATCTTTGAGATCCCATTTTCAACTTTTTTGGATATATATCCAAAGTGGAGTTGCTTGATGATAGGTATATGCTATTTCTATTTTTAATTTTTGGAGGAACCTCCATGCTGTTTTCATAACGACTGCACCATTTTACATTCCTACAAAGAGCACACAAGCCTTTTGATTTCTCCACATCCTTGCCAACACTTGTTATTTTCTGTTTGTGAATTCCTTCCTTCCTTCTTTCCTTCCTTCCTTCCTTTCTTCCACCCACCCACAGCAGCCATTCTAATCATTCCTAGATTCTTGATTTACTGCTGGTCCTCTTTACTTCTGGAATTCATATGATACTACATGAACACGTTGCCACCTTATAAGACAGAGTTAATCTGCCTTTTTTTGGTGTGTGTGTTTTCCTCTAGTTTCTAAACTGAGTAACTTGCTTTAAAGGCATTGTCAAATAGTGATACTGTCCCTGGATTGGCTCTACCCGTCCCTAAATGTTCCATCTGTAGATGTGTTATTTCATTGTGTACCGAATGTGCTTCTTTGACTGTGTCTGAACATGGGTTGTCTCTATTTCACTGGACCTGCTGTGTCTGCCCTGTGAATCTTTCTGTCATCCATTCTCCTCAGATATCTTGCCAAAAACTTGGCTTCAGTGCAGGTAGACCAGCTACCTGCCAGTGCCCTGTATTTGACGATCCTGTGTAGACATTTAATAGTAAGTGTGGATTATAGATGATGTCTGAGTTTAAGGAAACAGATGCAGTGCTTATAATCCATCTCTTCCACACAGTTGTGTAAGTTTGAGCATTTCATGTTTTACAGATGTTTAGATTGAGGGGGACTCCAATGTGGTTTCTAACCTGTCTTTGAGTCTTGCAGAGATTATGCTGCAATATTGTAAAATTGGGGGAAAATACATGGAATCTGGGAGCAGATCTATATTCAAGTCTTGACGCTGCCACTAGGCCGACCTCACCTCTAGCGACGTTTCTTATCTTCTCTGAGTCAGAAATCTCATGTGTAAGTTGGGTAGTGATATTTAACCTTTTACTTTAAAGCTGTTAACCTTAAAAGCTAAACTGCCAGTTATTTACCAGCAAAAATGGGTTTATTTGGGAAGAGCAGAGAATTGCATTCTGGGAGCTACCAGCTGTAAAACCTTTGGCAAGTCTGGAGAACAAAGGGGAGATACAGACTGTTATAGAGGCAAGGGGGAGTGGGGAGGGCTATTAGAAACAAGTCCACTCCCAGTAAACTGGGAGTTCCAAGTACAGTGGCTTCCCAGGGGCTGGGTCGGGACTGTCTCTCATTGGTTGGACTGTTGCCAGGGAAGAAGAAGCCTTCTTCCTGCTCCAATAGTAGGGTAGCTGCCTGGGAGGTCCCGTCTCTTCCTGCTGTGGATTTGCAATTGAAGAGGAGTGGGAGGGCCTGAGCGCTGCTCCTGCTGACCTCCCAACTCCATCCTCAATGAAGTTTCCTTCTGGGAATTTTCATAAAGGATTCATTGATGCTGTGAGCTTGTGTTTTTAGGAAGTCTCAACCAAGAAGTCTATCAAGTCAGAATTTCCCTCTTCCAGTGCAGGGAATAGATTGTCATACTCCAGGGCTGCCTAAATGGCCCATATCTGACAGGTGTCTTCTGATGAGTTTGATTTTCATAGTTTGTCCATTAATTGAAAAAGTCATTTAAAACAGTAGGTCACAAAAAATGATGCATACATCCCACTAACATTCACTTTTAACAAAATCACATAAACAGGCTGTCTTCTGATTAGGACCCCGGCCTTTCCCTGGAGTGTAGTAGGTTTGCCGTTGGGAACAAGTCTCCCATTAACTGCATTCATAACAAACCATTTCCCGTTTACACTTTCTTTCTTTAAAGTAGATTTTAAAATTTAGAGAATTGAAAAGCACTGGTTCTCAGACTGTGGGTCCCAGCCCAGCAGCATCTGACCTTATGGGAATTAAAAAAAAATTTTTTTTTAATGTTTATTTATTTTTGAGAGAGAGAGAGAGAGACAGAGACAGAGTGTGAACAGGGGAGTGGCAGAGAGAGAGGGAGACACAGAATCTGAAGGAGGCTTTAAACTCTGAACTGTCAGCACAGAGCCACATGCAGGGCTTGAACTAACAAACCATGAGATCATGACCTGAGCCATAGTCGGTTGCTTAACCGACTGAACCACCCAGGAGCTCCATGTTTCACACGGGAATTTCTTAGTGTACAGATTCTTTGGTTTTACTCCTGATTCAGAAACCAAGGGAGTGAGGCTCAGTATTCTGTTTTCACAAGGCCTCTGCACTAAAGTTTGAGAACCACCATTCTGTGTTTTAGATTTTCCCATTTTTATATTTTTTACTTTTACCTATTTCAACAGCAAAGAGTGTAGTTTGTGACTTTACCTTTAAGTGTTTCCTAAGCTTTTGATTTAGTTTCTAAAGACAGAACACTGTTGATTTTTGCTTTCATGGCTTATCTAATATTTAATTAGATTAGCTAATTACACTAACAGTAAAACTCCCCTAATGAGGTTTTGGAACAAATACTACTGGCGTTGGGGGTATGTACAACTCAGCTCTCGGTAGCGAAGCTGTGAGGGGCACTCCAGAGAGTCGTCTGCAGGGTGGGAATGTTCAGCACACATGGGCATCTTTCAGTGTGGTTGGGAGAAAGTGGAGCCTGTGGTGTCATACAGCTCAGTTGGGGCAGTGAAGGTTGGTCCAGAGAACTCCTAAACATTTTTCTGTCTAGGCTTACAGATTTCTCTGGCCCGTTTATCTTTACAGCCCTTGACTCATTATGCATGTTTTAGACTTTTGTTGGTTTGTAAGTAGTCATCTTTGCTAGATCTTGGAGCTTGAAGTTTGTTTTTAATAACTCCCACATGTCTTAAGTCAGTGTTACGGAAGAAACACGGAACACACTCAGCGGTTCGTGGGGAAGACATGTGCCTCTTACTGTTGACACCAAACAGGAAACTGTGTAGCAGCAAATACTGGAGTAGAAAACAGATGGATTTGTTCTTCCCTAGCCTGAGATCAGCCTTACTCTAGCTTAGAGTGCCTGCTTTGGTTTTGGGGAAACCAGTCATATGTGGAAATAATTCAGTTCAACACGTCGGGATGGCCGTTTGTGCCGAAGTGCGAGGGAAATGTTTGCCCACCATTGAGACAGTTAATAAGGGGTTACATAAGTTGATCTGGACTCTGGTCTGCTGAATTGAAAACATTGGTCTTTGGCAACATTCTGGATGGAATTTGATTGAGCTCCTTTTTTTAGATATAGGTTTTAATTATTTGCGTATTTTTAACCACATTGCTAATCTCTGCTCACAAAGGGGCAGGGCCTCACCGGTCTGTCTACATCACCTCTAGATCATCTTGTTCCTGCCATGGTTGGGTCGAAGTACGCCTATGAAACACTAATAGAAGGCTGCCTAATGCAAAGAAAATAACTCTTGCATAACAGCCTCAGGACAGTGTAACAGGTGTCCAGTAAATGCAGCGCTACCAGCCCCGCTGAAGACGTTCAGCTATGGATTTGATATTGGTTAGTGTTCATTGTTCAGCGACACAGCCGCCCAGTCATTCCACCAAGAAAGTAATAGCTACTATAAATGTGATTTTAGAAAGTCATGAATATTGCTAAAAGGCTTAAGGCAGAGCGAAGTGTTTGTTAGGATTAGGCTCTAAATCCACATAGTTGATAGGCATAGCATAAATTGTGAGTCTGTATTTAAATTCCACTTTGCTGTCTGGGGAAGCATTTATAAAAGTAATGAAATTTGTAGTTTCATGTGAAGCTGAAGAAAAATGAGAACAAAACATCACACAGAAAATAATAATTATTGAGTAAGTTTTGAACGGTAACTACAAGCTAGTTAACGTGTGTTGCATCATTTTACCATTATACAGCCTCTCTCTAGAGTGTTACAGTCTAGATTTGATGGATAGGAAACATGGATTAAGGAAGCTGGTGACTTGCCCAAGGTCATTTGACTGGTGGGTGGTGGAGCTGGGATTTGAACTGTAGTCTCTTTAACGCTAAAGCCCAGGCTTTTAAATACGACTTTACACCTTAATATCCGGTGCTTTAATATTCCTGGCCTGCTTTCAAAACCTTCTCTCTTCCTGTCAATTCCAGAGATAACATTCAATAACTTGACAACAGTGACCTTTCTAAACAAATAAAGAGTGTTACAGAACCAGATGGCCTAAGATTATATTTTATTTTTCTGGCTCAAAATAAATTGCTTGCTCTAAGACTGATAAAGTCCAAAAAAGACCCTCTGTGTCCCAAGACTTCATCAGGCCACACGGCC